TTTCTTACAATATGGAAGTCCAAAATGTTGGTTTAATATGTACATATGTACTATAGAATAATATTAGAGGAGGAGGAGATTGGGCACTGCTCTGGTTAGCAATATTTTAAGTTAAACTGCAAATGTTTGCAACTTGTTATATGCAACAGTTTTACACCAAATTAAAGTTAGAATATATCTGATAATATATCTTTGTGTATAGTTTTGTATTTTGATTGAACTGTGAATAGAAATAATGCCCTGTCTTGGACTTGAAATATTCCATTGATTGTTTGTCCCAGTGCTATATCCATGGACAAACGGACTGATTGCTCATCTTTCAAGAAGACGGTCGTAAAAGTATCCTTTATTTGGCTGCTATTGCTTTTAAATTGGCATATGTACTTGAATTAATGCAGAAAGTCTAATTTTGCTTATGCCGTATCCAAGCTGTTGATTTTGTCTGAAAAAGGTGCCCATGTTTTTAATACACGTCATAGTTTAGACTGACTATTTCTTATGTTAATTCACTCATCTCCATATTGTATTATATTTGTTTTCATAGACTTTATATTAATTTAGGTCATAACTAATCTACCTTGCATTCAACAGTGATCTAATCATAGTCTGATTGCAAACTTAAAATAATTCTTTGCAATTGCATAATAAGTTTTTGGGTAGTGATTGCATATTAGGTTTGTGGGTAGCTCTTCCCATTGTTATAGTTGTTCATAAGTTTCTACATGACTCTTGGAAAAAGAGTTTAAGTGAACCTGGATAATGGAAATATTTGTAAACACTATGTTTTATTCTGCTGCCTGTCTCTGCCTAATTTGTTTTAAGTTTGTTTTTTATTTGGTAATGTTAGTCCAATTGTTTACATAATTACTTTCTGTTGACTGTTTGAATTAAATATTGTCTTATAGTTATATGCATATAAGTTGATCAATTAAAACAAAATTGTGTGAAAGCAAAATATGAGAACACAACAAAATTGTAATAGTGCAAGCAAATGGGTCACAGCTGTTGGGTGCTGTTGGGTGTTCTTTACCTTACATTCATGTTGTTGAATGTAAGGTGAGCTAATCTCAACATGGTGATGTCCTGCAGCTTTTGGATTGATTATTCCTTCTCGCAGCCTCCAACTTTCAATAATTGTTATTTATTGCTTGCAGTCAGTGGCATCAGCAATTTGAAAGCAATTAAGCACTGTATCTAAAGTCTGCTAATAAGAAATGAAACTGAATATTTGGCTATGAAATAATGTTTTATATTAATTGCTTTTTTATGTAGTAATATATTTAAGAGGACTGTAACAAGCACCATGAGTTCACTTATAGTTGCTTCCATGTTTGTAAAGAAATGGGGTGGTGGAGCTGAATCAAATGATTATTCTCTTTGCTCTGTGACCAACAGGTTGGTAAAAATGTGCAACTGTTCACTGAGTAGCTAGTACATTCAACTCTGAAATGAGACAATCCCCCCCCCCCCCCCCACTGTGCACCCCGTGGATGTAGTATTCATACACTTCCAAATGAAGCTAAATATAATGCAGCAAGAGTTTCATAGCAAGCTGTTTGAATACATGATCTGTTACGAGAATCTCATAATAAATGTAAAGATGTTAAGTGATGCATAGCTTCAACTACAGGCTGTATTCCATATCAGGCTGTTTGAATACAATTGGGAAATCTGGTTCTGTCATCCTTTACAGCAGGGTTCTCAACCTCGGGTCATGGATAGGTTTCAGGGGATCTGAGAAGACCAGATAAAAGTAACATTTATACTGGCATTTTTTAAATAATACTTTGTATATTTAATACATATATGAGACAATCAAATCTGGGTCATGGATAGGTTTCAGGGGATCTGAGAAGACCAGATAAAAGTAACATTTATACTGGCATTTTTTAAATAATACTTTGTATATTTAATACATATATGAGACAATCAAATCTCAATAAAGTTGTGTTTATGTGAATATTTCTAGGGAGGGGGGCCCATGACTCTTAAAAAGACACACTGCTTGGTGACTAATGGTAAGGAGAGAAATATCATTACTTCCAGGAAGTAGCTGAAGTAAACTTTTTGGAGTGCTGTGTGAAGGAAATACGTTAAAAAAGGGGACCAGGTATTGCTTGGAATGTATGCCAGCATTTCAGAAGAGATTGATATATATTTTTTTTCTTTTTTGAATATTTGTATATTTATAAGTACATTGCATTTTTACCATGAATCATAAAATACATGTGATACTTTTCTTTTCTTTCATTGATACAATTATCAGGATTATGGCACCATGACATCTCATGTAAAGATGTACATAGAGATTCAGTGTTAGTAGATATTTGTGCTTTATATATTTTTATATCAAACATAAAAAACAAGGATTATGCCTTCCAAAACCAAGAATCTTTTATTAACCATAATAATGAAAATAATGATTTACTGTCAGACTTTTTCATCACTATGCTCATAATTCAGCTGTGGTTTCATCAACTACAGGAGTTACAGGGAACTATGTTTAACCTGATGCCACCTGTCAGGGCTTGTAACTGTCTTTACACATAAATGGCTCCACAAGTACCAATGGGTCTTGGTTCTACATCTTACCTGTTTACAATTTTCCTTGATTTTGTGAAACCTTTTCTTTTATCTTTTATTGTTATTAGCAACATCTATAATAATAATAATATTAACAGAATTGATAGCACCCCCCCCCATCCTTTGCTAGTAGTAGTAGTTGTTGGGGGGTGGGGGGATGCTTAGGAGGTGGAGACTGAGGCCCATTGCAGGGATCACCCTTCCCTTGCACCTAGGCCATTGCCACAACTAATTTTGTATGGTCTTTTCTTATTCCCCTTTTCTTCATCCTATTCTGTTGACATATCCTTATTGTTAACTCATTTTTAACCCTTTTTGTCTCAGTACTTTACCATAGTGTTATATGATCTTTCATGTCTAGCACATTTATTTGTTTTAACTATTACCTATTGATAGCAGCAGCAGCAGCAGCAGCAGCAGCAGCATACCTCTATGTGGATGTTCAAGGCCAACACGTGACTTGAGTCTTAGAGTCATTTTCAGTATGGCTTTGAGTGTAGCTCCTTTGTCCTATCCCACAGGATAAGAGCTTGAACAGTTCCCATCCATCTACATCGCACACTTTAGGGAGATATGATGTGAGAATAACTGGCTGAAATAAAGTCTCACAAGGCTAATCTTTATGACACTTGCCATTTTCACAACCACCAGAGGAAAGCTGATTTGTGATATATGAATACCTTTTTTTTTGTAAGAATTCATTTGCAAGTATTGAAAAAGGGATATTATATTCCATAAGAGACATCTTTCATTCTAAGGTATTTTCTCTATTAAACTAATTAAAATAATCTGCTTCAAAAAAAATCCTTCCAAAACTGAACATCTCCAAAGGGAATAAAACTAGAAGCCTTTGCCATCAAATCCTCAATCACAAAGCTTTTTAAAAGGAAGGAAAAAGTAATATCAAAACTTTTTTTTTACATGTTACAGAAAATATATTTATATCAATATCTTGCATTAAAAAAGGTTCCACCTATACCTTTTTTATATGGAATCACATATAGCCTTTTTTGTGACTTTAAGGAGAAATACATTTCAAAATGGGGTATAAGAATGAAAATACAAAAAAAGCAAGAATATTGTAATTACTAATAGATAATGTAACTTTTCAAGCATCATTACTGTTCAGCCTAAAATCATTCACCAATAAAAGTAATTTTATAACAAAAATAAAATTCCCATAATTTTTTCCAACAATTGGGAAAGATACTACAGATAAGATCTCCAATTTGTATGTCTAAATGGAAAGTCTGTCAATTAAAATCTACATATAGACACATTGCGAGCTTGTGATAAGATGCTAAGAATAATATAAGGAGCTTTTTTGGTTGTGAAGTGGTTTTGTGATTAGTTAAGTTATCCATACTGAATGCAATGGAGGAAAGTCAACATTGATTCCGACTGTTTATTTGTGTGAAAGGTTACAGTATAGAGAAAGGGAAGGTGTTGAGGCCTTCTGTTCGTCACTCGGCCTTTGTCATAACATTCTGAGGAGCTAATCTATACCACCATTTACACAACACGTAGATAAAAGAGAATACATCAACAACACGTGGAAAGTTTGAGGTCATTAGATTATCTCTGTCTGTGTTTAGTTAGAATTCTGCATGTGATGAATGAAAGGGTTGGTGAAGAGACAACACACACAACACAAATATTGCTAGTGTAATGACTGATGAAGTGATTTTGTGTATAACACTCATTACAAACCAGATATTTGTCTCAGGAATTGTTTTTGATTTGCTGATAGGATATAATTATAATTTGTTCCAACAAAGGTAAAATAGTGTTAATTCCTTGATATATAACAGACATTCTTACCCGTAATTAATCAAATAAGGAAAGAAATTGCTTCAATAACTCACATTATTTTATCACTTATTTTATTATGAAGCATAACTCGTGTGCAATATATCTTGAGCATTTTAAATCCCTTTAAAATTTCCATTCAACCACAAGAGACAAAATGCTATTTTTCTGCTTTCTGAGTTTTCTCTTAAGAAGTTAACCCAATGATGCTGGGATGGCATATATATGTACATGCCATGTGCACTGGGATTTCAGTTCATTAAGTTTGTTTCCACACTAATGGCTCCACAACAGTTTAGTCATTAAGGGGTCCATTACCATCCCTGCATATCCCATCTGTTTACCCTTTTCTTTGGTTTTCAGATGGATTCTTTTTTTTATTCCTATTAGCATTGGTAAAGAGATCTTGTAAATTCAAGTGTCAGGTAAGGTCGTACAGGCCTACTAATTGACTCCTTGGTGGCTGAGTACCTGCAAAGCCTTATATGTATTAAAAAAAAAAAAAAAAAAAAAAAAAAAAAAAAAAAAAAAAGAACATTATTCTCTGTAGGGTAGTACTATATGTGAGCATGTAACCTGTTGCAAACAAGTGAGGTATATGGAAAACATTTTTATAATGACAGTGGATCCAGTGCCTCAAATTTATTATTTCATAGTTACAGAGTGCTAAAATTACCAAATTACTTGTGATAAAACAACAGCAAAAAAAAACCCTGAATATTGAATCATCAAGCTTCTTGCCTCACCCTGAAGCAGCTCAACTGAACCACAGCAACTCTGTAACAACCTCACAATACCCTTCTTATATATATTGAAAAGAAAAGAAAAGAAAAGATAAATGCATTAAGTATTTTTTCTTCATAAAATGTTCGCTTGCACATAAATAACATAACAAGCAAGATTCTCTTCATTATTTGAAAATCCCTTTTCAAAAAAACAATTTCAAAAGACTTAATTATGCAGGTTGTCATGAGGTCAAAGTTTCCCCTTTTTTTTGTTTATTTTTCTCCCATTTCCTATCAAAATAATAACAATCAGCCAATAAATACCATCACAGTATTTATAAGTTGGAAATATCCCATTCATCAGTACAAATAAATTAAAAACTCTAATATAGTTTGAGGTGACCAGTGATCTGATCAATAAGGTCCGCTGGTCCTGGCCCAACTCCAAGGACAGTGCGTGAGCCTGGGGCGATCTGAGTGCGACCGGCATCCTGGATGAGGCTGACGGTCAGACCAACCTCCCTAGCCAGTCCTGCCAAGTCCAGCATTTGAGCCTCGTCGTCCAACTTCACCACTACCTACGAGTCAAAAGTAATGGTGTTAGCTATAGCCTGTATGAGTCAATTTTTCTGATTTGATCAACAGATACATCATTTACATGGTTGTTATCCTTGACCAAAAATAAAAGAATGAAATAATTTAACTGTCATTATGATATTTCAGTACTGCAAAATAAATTATTTACCTTGAGAGTAACATTATTTTCTTACATGACAGCAAAAAATATATCAAAACATTTACCTTTGGTTGTCCATTTAACTCCCACTTTCTTAAAATCTTGGGGCAGGACTTTTGAGACTGCTTGAAGGCCTTCAGAGTCGCATGGGAACACTGAATATTTGATTCAAGAAAAAGGAAAAGAAAAGAGTTAATGTCTACCTTATGGGGGGGAGGGGATTAAAATCTTTTAGTTGAAAGTATTTTTGCCATATTTTAAAGTTTCTTCAGCAAAATAATATATATATTTTTTATTCCGTTCCAAACATTCCTTGTCATAAAACCATCAGAAATAATTATCTACAGTATAACACAAATTATTTCCAATTTTAGTGTTTTAGCCAGATTACATTGTGAAAGAAAGAAAAATACACATAAATGTAAAATAATGAATTATTACATATACCATGACACTCAGACTGACCTGGGCTGCCACTTTTCCCTTCCCCATTTTGAGGTCGGTTCGTACCACAAGTACCAGCTTGTATTCACCAGATCCCTCTGCTAGGAAACCATCCTGCAAAATTAAAACATTCCTTTTATTTCATATAATAATCATCATAGTGCAACTGATTATATTACATATCATGCTCAAACTATGACTGGTAAAAAAATAGTAAGATAGCATTCTAACTGGTTCTTTGTTTGGTAGCGCCCAAAATTCAAGACTGAAGTAAGGAAAGGAAAATCTTTATGAATAAGCATATTGTTGGAGCAAAAAATGGTTAGTAACAGCATGAAGGGCAAAATCATGCTATCATAAAAATGTAAGTTAAACAGAGCAATCAATTCTGGTAACTATCAAAGCTAGAAAATATGATCTTAATAATATTTCTAACTCCACAAGCATCAACAACAACAGCGCATGTGTTTGTATGTGTGTGCATACATTTGTATGCCGTGTATATATGTGTATGTGTACGTACGTACGTACTTACATACGTACATACATACATGCATACATACATAACAATGATAACATTTCATATTTTAAACCTTTGTACGTTAAAATTTCCTATTAAGTACATTTTGGTCTTATAATTTTGATTTTCCTCTTACAGTGTTGAATATTTTCTGTATCTGCATGCTATGAATTTTGGTTGGCGGGTGTTTCTACCGGCAGATTTTACATTATATATCTTATTGTTTTCTGTATTATTGTATTATCTATTTACTGTATTTCAGCATGTTTTACCCCTATACTTCATGCTCTCCCCTACTATCAAGATTGTTGGCTGAATATGGAATTCCACCAAACGAAATAGGTGTGCATCTGGACCCTTACCAAAACAAGGAAAGAAAGGTTAGGTCTGAATTCTAGGGTTCGCACGATACCCTGGTTCTGGGACTTCCATCTATGGGAGGGTACGTCGCTCTCGTTAACAAATACCATTTCTGAAAACTTGGCACGAAACCCCACGTACCAGCACAACGGGAGTGACAAAATCCAGACTCACCTCATCCCAACCCCCGTCGTTGTCCTCGTCGTCACCTTCCTCCACCGTCTCTCCATTTCCCAGCAAGGAACCCCTCATGAAGAAGCCTATGCACACTCCCAGCCCCATGCCCACCATGACCCCGGGCTGGGCGAGCAGGTCGGAAATAATGGGGATCATCGTCGCTGCCAGGAAGCGAATTCCCGACACTCCTTACACTTCTTCTTCTTCTTTCTACTTTTATAGGGTTTTTAGACTATTGTCTAGTCTATATCCCCTGGCTCTATGTTCTTTCTTCTTTCTTCTTTCTTTATATTATTTCTATTAGTCTCGTTTTCTCTAGGAATATTTTTGTGTGTCTTAAAATGTAGTTCTTGGAGCACTCCCTGGACATCGCCAGGACCTCCATGCGTGTTTACGGCGCTTAGCGTGCAACCACGTGGGGCGCGGGAACCTGGATACGTTCTATACATTCTGTGCATTCACGTGTACAAGTGTACTTTTATAATACATATACAGGGTGTCCGAGAGAAGAGGGTACACTGAATAATCTTGATTTTTCTTCTGCTCGCAAAACTTTTTTTATACTAGCAATGAGTATTGGAAAGAAACAAACAGCAAAGTTAAGTGATATCTAAAACTATGATCTTTAATATAAAATTTTGTATCTACACACACACACACACACAGATTAGATAAAGAAAGGAAGACAGAAAGAAGACGAAGAAAACACACACACACGCGCGCGCGCCCACGCTCACACACACAAACACACACACACACACACGCACACACACACACACACACACACACACACACACACACACACACACACACACACACACACGCACGCACACACACACACACACACACACACACACACACACACACACACACACACATATATATATATATATATATATATATGTATATATATATATATATATATATATGTATATATATATATATATATATATATATATATATATATATATATATATATATATATATATATATTATCATCCCTGCATTCATCGTAGCTTCCTTCATTCAGTTTTCATTTTTACTTTGTCTCCTACTTTTCTTCTCCTTTTTTCCCCTTCCCTTTTCGATTATTTTTCTTGCTCTGTCTGTGCGCACACCTCCACCGGTATGTAAAATTATAAACAAAACTTCTGAAAACAGCTGATGATATCACATCAATGTTTGCAATGACTTCTTTACGGAGTCTTACCATATTTGGCCCGAAAATAGATTTTGACAACATAGTAAAAAAAAAAATTCCGTTCAGCCGGCCTCGTCAACCCGTGGGTGGGGAAGGAATGTTACAAAAACGGTAAATGTACAGGTGCTACGCTGTTGATCAAATATATTATCTATAAGGTAAGCACTGTGAAGACATTTTAAATTCAAATATCGAATATTAGACTAGTCCCCCCCCCTTTTTCGCGTGTATTGATTTTAGTTCTTTTTAATTGAAAAGTACGCTTTCTCTCAGAAAGACGGGTTGCTCTAATTTTTATTTTGTTATTTAGTCGTTTCTACATTTTTTATTCTTTTATTCAATCGTTTTTACATTTTAAAAAATGTATATATTCTCAACAGATACTAATGATGTGATGAGTACGAATGATGTTCATATTGCAACAACAAACTGCAGTTTACATATGTTATACAACGAGACAGAAAGCTAGTTAGGGAATGGGAAGAGGAGGGAGAGGGAGAGAGAGATAAGGAGGAAGAGGAAGACAGAGGCAAGAAAAAAAAAAGTTTAGGAACACCGTGGAGATACGAGAGAAATAAATGATGCATGAAATATCTGCTTCAGAAGGCAATGCGACTGTGATTTCATATTCACCATAATCACTCAGTAATAGGTCTTCCTACATTATCAAGCTATTCATGATATATAGAGAGATATTGTAACTCGAAATAATTTAAAGGGCCAATTTACAAATCTCTCTGAGGCTCAATTATGCTTTGTGTGATTTTAGTTACTTTCAGAAATTAAGGTCTTGTCTATTTACGAAGGAACGTAACGTATATTTTCATGTTTAACATTCTATTTATTTATCGGTATCTCTAAATATTTACAACTCAAGCGACAATCATGAGAAATCACGTTTTCTGTGATAACGGATTACAAAAAAATAAAAAAATAAAAATGTCGTTTTTGGGGGTAACGAAACTAGAGAGAGAGAGAGAGAGAGAGAGAGAGAGAGAGAGAGAGAGAGAGAGAGAGAGAGAGAGAGAGAGAGAGAGAGAGATTTGATTTGATTTGATAACATTTATTTACAGAACAGTGTACATGCCCTGCAAAAAGCCAGGGTAAGATACCAAAGCATCTATCCAAACTGGCTGTGCTGCTATTTGTGTAGAGGGCCATTGGTCAAACAGTGTTACATACATGCCTGAAGGGCTGTTCTATTATCACAATATTAAAATATCATCTGACTGGTAAAAAACCTTTTACATCACTAATCATGTCAAAGACAAGACCAGTAATACATTTCAAGTGATTAACTGGAGACATTGATTACTTGGCCATTTCCAAGGCCCACTACAGGGTGATTCTGTTGTTGATTTAGGAGGAACGAGAACATCCTTTCCTGAAGTTGAGATTGTTGAGCCATTTGTTGCTGCATCATGAACATCATCTGCTCCATCTGTCGAAGTAGCATTTGCAGTAGTTCTTTGATTTCTCCGTTGGACTCTTGTTTGTCCTGCTGCAGAGAGGGCTGAGCTGCAACTGGTGCTGAAGCTGGTGCTGAAGCTGGTGCTGAAACTGGTGCTGCAGGTGGTGCTAGAGTTGGAGCTGCAGCTGGTGTTGAAGGTGGTGCAGAGACTGATGCAGCATAAGGTGCTGGGGCTGGTGCTGCAGCTGGTGCTGGTGCTTGAGCTGACCGAGCTTGAGCTCCTGCTTGTGCTGGTACTGTGGCCTGCGCCTTGGCTTCCGTTGCAGGGGCCACCACTGCTGACCTCTGCAGGTGTGGGAATTCCCTCACATCATCGACGCGCGGGGCTGGCTGGGACTTTTGTGGGGGGGAGGGCTGCCTGTTCTTTTTACTATTTGTTTTTCTGTCCTTTGGATAGTAAGGGCATAATGGAGAATTTGCATTATGCTCTTGTCGGCAGTTCACGCATTTCCGAGGGACATTTTCTCCTTCGGAAATCTTTTCTGCGCATTCAGAACTTCCGTGTGGAAGAGCACAGTAACGGCATCGCGGTGCGTCTCGCGGACAAGCACGCGTCCCGTGGCCCCACTTTGAGCAATTGGAGCAAAAAGGGGTCAGGGATTTGAAGACGGCACACCTAAAGGGTGCCATGCCCTCGACCATTTTGATGCTTTTGGGGATTACCTCCCCCTCATAAGTTATGATGACTCTCTGGGTCATCATTCCATTTGTCTTCATGCGCCTCGCATGAATGATCCGTTCGTTGTAGGTTGTCATTTCTTGTGTTTCGATTTCCCTTGGGACATCGAACACAATGATGTTCGTGCATTTTCCCTTGCCGAACACTTTGGCTTTTACTAGTACTTCGCCGCATGCACCAATAGATGTTATTTGATCAAGGATTTCTTCGTTCTTGCATCTGACAAATACGTTGTTTCTTCCAATTTTAAGTTCAATGGATCCGTATGTTTTATTATAAGGGTCCATTTTTAGGGCCTTAGAGACCCAGCGATATTTGTCACCGTGTGTGCGCAATTTTGAATCGTTCTTAAAATGAGCGCATAAGTGTCCTGGAGGTGTTACCTCCACCGAAGCAGATAGCTGCCTCTTTGCTTTTTTTTTTCATTCGTTCGGGGGCCCCACCAATGTCTTCCTCACTGAGAGCATTGTACCTCCCCTCGGTTTCCATCGTCGCGTCTGCGGTCGCGGCCATTCCCCCGACCGCGAAGGGGCCAACCTGAGTGCCTGTCCTTTGAAAATAAACAGTCACGCACACGGGTCACTCACGGTGCCACGCAGCACATCTCGGAGTGTGCGTGGGAGATTTCGCTTTTAGTTTAAATGTTAGTTCTTTGTATCACTTTAAAACTTGTTTTAATGTGAACATTGTCACACACTGGACCACTATACGGTTGACAGGTCTGTGAATTCCTGCTTTTCAAGGTATCACAGACCCTTTAAGGACATGTCACAAGGTCACGAGAGGACACTATACACGTCCTTACACTGTGGTGTCGTGACGTTAACTGGAGAGAGAGAGAGAGAGAGAGAGAGAGAGAGAGAGAGAGAGAGAGAGAGAGAGAGAGAGAGAGAGAGAGAGAGAGAGAGAGAGAGAGAGAGAGAGAGCGAGAGAGAGCGAGAGAGAGCGAGAGAGAGCGAGAGAGAGAGAGAGAGAGAGAGAGGGAGAGAGAGAGAGAGAGAGAGAGAGAGAGAGAGAGAGAGAGAGAGAGAGAGAGAGAGAGGGAGAGAGAGAGAGAGAGAGAGAGAGGGAGAGAGAGAGAGAGAGAGAGAGAGAGAGAGAGAGAGAGAGAGAGAGAGAGAGAGAGAGAGAGAGAGAGAGCGAGAGAGAGCGAGAGAGAGAGAGAGAGAGAGAGAGGGAGAGAGAGAGAGAGAGAGAGAGAGGGAGAGAGAGAGAGAGAGAGAGAGAGAGAGGGAGAGAGAGAGAGAGAGAGAGAGAGAGAGAGAGAGAGAGAGAGAGAGAGAGCGAGAGAGAGAGAGAGAGAGAGAGAGGGAGAGAGAGAGAGAGAGAGAGAGAGAGAGAGAGAGAGAGAGAGAGGGAGAGAGAGGGAGAGAGAGAGAGAGAGAGAGAGAGAGAGAGAGAGAGAGCGAGAGAGAGAGAGAGAGAGAGAGAGGGAGAGAGAGAGAGAGAGAGAGAGAGAGAGAGAGAGAGAGAGAGAGAGAGAGAGAGAGAGGGGGAGAGAAAGAGAGAGAGAGAGAGAGAGAGAGAGAGAGAGAGAGAGAGAGAGAGAGAGAGAGAGGGAGAGAGAGAGAGAGAGAGAGAGAGAGAGAGAGAGCGAGAGAGAGAGAGAGAGAGAGAGAGAGAGAGAGAGAGAGAGAGAGAGAGAGAGCGAGAGAGAGAGAGAGAGAGAGCGAGAGAGAGCGAGAGAGAGAGAGAGAGAGAGAGAGAGAGAGAGAGAGAGAGAGAGAGAGAGAGAGAGAGAGAGAGAGGAGAGAGAGAGAGAGAGAGAGAGAGAGAGAGAGCGAGAGAGAGAGAGAGAGAGAGCGAGAGAGAGCGAGAGAGAGAGAGAGAGAGAGAGAGAGAGAGAGAGAGAGAGAGAGAGAGAGAGAGAGAGAGAGAGAGAGAGAGGGAGAGAGAGAGAGAGAGAGAGAGAGAGAGAGAGAGAGCGAGAGAGAGAGAGAGAGAGAGAGAGGGGGGGGAGAGAGGGAGAGAGAGAGAGAGAGAGAGAGAGAGAGAGAGAGAGCGAGAGAGAGAGAGAGAGAGAGAGAGAGAGAGAGAGAGAGAGA